GATGCCTGACTGCTAGAAATGATTGTCATATATACATATACAATATATTGTACAGTATATTTGTAGTTATGTTCGTATTTATGTGTGGACATAGCTGGTAACAGTGATAACGTGAACAGAGTATTGTTTACTGTAATATAGAAAAAAATTACAAATCTGAAAATAAATGCACATGAATAGTGTTCAATATCGTTTTAAGATAAGAATGTATATTTTTGATATTTTTCGTATTTTTATCATTAATGGATAACTTGAATTTCCCTGTTTATCAGGTATAGAGTAATTCAATATTTTTCCAGTCCCTGGTATTTCCAATTAACCATCTTTTACTGTACGCATAATTTTAAACCGACACTTTAACACAAGGAAACCTACACAGTGAGGTTAAGGTTCAAGCCTTACAAAGCACAAGATATTACTTAACTGTAGTGTTGTAATAATTTCGTAAAACAAAACCAGGCTCACCTGCAAGCCAAGTGAAAGGCGGTTATACCATCCTTGTTGCGGTAGTAAGGATCGGCACCGGCATCCATCAAGCATCTCACAACGGGTTCGTGGCCACCAATGCACGCCAGCATCAGCGGAGTCCAGTCGCCTCGCTTCAGGCAGTTCACTTGAACACCGACATCTCGCGTCAGGTATTCGACGCTGCGCAGGTGGCCGTTCTGAGCACACTCGTGAAGCGCTGTTTTGCCCAGCTTATTCGAATGGGTGCTGAGACAACGTACGGCGACGGTTCGACCATGGGTTGCCTCCAGACGTCGGAAAGCAACGGCGATTTCTGTCAGTTGCCCCCGGCGAGCAGCGAGTATCAGTCGGCTGTCCTGCATTTTGTTGGTGGAGCGAAAGAAGTCCCATTCTGCCTTTTCTTCGTTGAGGTTTGTCGGAAGACGGACAACGCAGTCGTCCGCCATTCAGCAAGTCCTCCTTTCACTGGATGCTTACTTCGGTGCTTTGGGAAAACTCGACGGTCGAGCCACTAATAAATGACCCTCAGCCAGTAA